TGTTTAGTGTGTCACGAATTGATATTGTCCAGCGAACTCGTCTTCTGATTTCGCGTTACACTTTTTGCTGTGTGACCTTGAGGTCCTGTAGGGTATTTTTGCCTCCGAGACCGACTTCGTTGGGAAACTTTTAGACGATAATAACTTCGATCATTTTGCCAGGGTGGTTCTGCACGGGTAACGTGCGTCACAGCTTTATCCAATTTTATTTAAGATGCATTATTTTAGTATTATTCTCATCACTTGAAACATTCTTCCTATTCCTTATCATTATTATTGTTTGTGTACAATAAAAATAAAAAAATATAGCGTTTTATTTTTTATCTGATCACTTTGTTCCATTGCCATTATCAGTACAATTATATATAATACGAGTGTTATAATATTGCTAATAAGAATAATGATTCAAAGGTATGACAGCTGTCACATCTAGGTGTATTGACGCATTCCGGCAGAAGGATTGAAATTATGGGTTAAATGCGGCAAATCGCTTCGACCGGTAGCGTTTTACGACGTAAACGACAACCGCGGTAAGTCGTTTTGGTAGCGTTTTAGTAGTCCAATCGTAGCGATTTGGATCGAAAAAAGTCAGGTCAGGTCAGGTCAGGTTGCACAGGACTGATAGTGGCCACAGGCCAATCACGCGTCCAGAATTCTTTCGGTGGTATGCCCTCGAGTGTGCGTCCACCTCTGCGATTGATCGGTTTCTTCTATCTGCAAACAGAAAAACAGAGACTTTACTTCTCGTCAACGAAATCTGTCAAGTTATAGCGATCTGGTAGCAGATCAGTAGCCGTATCGTAGCACCTTATTAGTCAAATAGTAGTCTTTTTGCTAGCAGGGTAGTCTACAACTTCTGGGGAACCACATTGCGCAGAACATCGTGCGAAAGAGATCTGGGAATTATGGTTACTTCATCACTAAAGACCCGGGAAATCACCGATCGGGTCTGTGCCAGCGCATGGAGCATTCTGGGGCCTATTCGGCAATCTTTCAACCAGCTCACGATGGACGCTTCCCATGTCAGACCAAGACTTGAGTATGGTGCTGCGGCGATATACCCCTGCACGGCCGGTAAACTGGCTAAGTTGGAGCGTGTACAACGTGCTGCCATTAGACTCATTGTTGGACTACGCGGGGCCAGCTATGAAGGTCGCCTACAGGCTACTGGTCTGTTCCCAATTGCGTATCGGCGCCTCAGGGGAGATCTCATCTGTTTGAGGAAGATCCTGAGAGGTGATATGGGCCCGGAGCTGCCACTGTACTTCGCTTCACAGATAGAGGACCGCACGCAGGGGCACTTTCTCACGTTGCGGAAAATTCGGTGAATTGGTCTTCTGTTAGTCTACCGACTTTCGCGGAGGTCAACAACACTGGAATTCGCTTCCAGCCATCGTGGTGGAGGAGAAGACAGACGCTGCTTTCAAACGGCGTCTGGATTAGCACCTGAAGGGGCTATGGAAGAACGAACGCTTGTGATCGTACCTTTGACCCAGTGGTGATGGGGCTTACACGGGCACCCTGCCCTCTTCCATCAATACTGAAAACTGAGGAAATTAGCTTTTCTTAGCCATGACGAATAAAAAACCAAAACATAAAGCGTTGGTGACAACGTTTCGACCCTCTTGGAAGGTCTTTTACAAGTCGGTTAATCTAATTTTAAAAAAGGAATTATTAGGCGATGGGATGATGACATTGTATAGAACTCGGATGTGATTCATCATCATCATGATCATCGTACAGCGAGATACGCTGAAGCAAACTTCAATGATCGCTGCCAAGCTCACAATGTACACAAATCAAGTGATAAAGCACAAGACAGAGAGGGATTGGGCCTCATTGGAGGGAGACAAAGAAAAAGAACCCCCATGTTCAACACACAGAGTACACAATCTAAGTGTTTATGCATATCTTTTCAAGCATTCTGACCTGATAAAACATGACAACAAGAACGCCACTGCTGTCGGTTAGTCGCAATATCCTTTAATGTCTCCAGCCAACCAGTTGCAGAGTCCTTCGGACCCCAACCTGGAAGACGAGAGAAACCGATTCTACCTCATCGCTCTGTGCATTTCTTTATGCCTCGTTTCCACGTCATCTGTTGACCTCCACGCGGTTTCTTCCAACGTGGAGTCGCAACTGCGAATAAGGCGCGGTGCAGCAGACGATGACTGGACCTGCGCAATACGGAAACTAACCAGCGAAGCCGACTAATCTGAATTCAATCGGACCACGAATTCTCCATCGAATCATTATCAAGTACGCGACGCCTCACCTCAGAGTTGCTTACAAACTCGCTCTATCCAACCCATGCCAAATTACGTAAACATCTTTAGTCGAATACTTCAATACGACGCATATCTTCCACTCCCAGTT